AACAGAGGAAAGGACTAGGAAGCAAAACTGTTTATAGAGGTATAAACATAGAGGCGTACATATGTAAATATATTAATGCATAACAATAGGGGTATTGACCAATGTACATATATTTATATGGCAATACATTGAGGCAGTGAGTGGACTCCGGACTACTATTGAAGTATTCCCTTAACACAAGAACACTTTGTTCTAATGTGGCATTGGGCAATGCCCATCACCCCTAACACGATCGCTGAAGACAAACTGGGTGCTTAAGCAAATGTGGTGAAGAAAGCAGATGGTGCCTGGCTATTAAAAGATATAACTAGTGGGGTCTTAAAAGCTTGAAGCCAAACAAGCAGCCATCTAGCAGGCAAGCAACAAAGCCCACATGGGCGAAGCACACCTGTATGTGTGATCATGAGGTATCAATGGGTACAGTCATAAGAATTCCAAAAATAATAACCTCATTGAGGTGATGGAGAGGGGTCAAGCTAGAGACTCAGAGTCCATCCATGGAAGATTGGTCATCCACGTGTAGAGGGGCTGGATGGAGGAGAAAATGTATCCGGGGGCAGGTTAGCATTGACAAAATACACACACACTCCTCTAGTTGTTTAACTTCCTCCCATTATTATGATCTCAGTTCAATCTCGCAATTCCCGCTAGACCATTGTACAGACAGAGGCACAGACGAGAGCTTTCAATATACAGAATTAAGGAAAGACAGCCCTCCTCAGAAACAGTATTGGGAGCAATGATTCCAGGAGGATAGGGGAAGGGAGGGAAGAATACCAGGATAGCAGGTGAAGGGACAGAATGGGTGGTGTAAGATATGTAGAAATAATAATAACAATACATAATATATAAGAGTTTGCGGGGGTGGCAGGGTGGGGGAGGGAGCAGAAAAAAGAAGAGCTGATATTAAAGGTCTCAAGAAGAAAGATGATGTTTAGAAATTGTTGATGCCCATATTGTACATGTCCGCTTGAGATAATGGAAGTGTTATAATATATATAAGAGCACCCAATACAATGATTTATTTAAAAACAAAACAAAAACCAGAAAAGAAACCACTGGCCTCTCCATGGGAGAAAGATGAGACTTGGTTTTCTCTCAGGGTTGCCCTGAGTCAGAAGTGCCTCCACGGCAGTGGGCTCCTGAGAGTAGAGCCTGTGGCTCAAGCAGAGTTCGGGTGCTGCTGTGTGGGGAGTGTACAGTGTTTTCTCTGCCGGCTTGATTTGCATTTTCTTGATAACTAGTGACTGGTTTTATTGCCTAAACTGATGACATTTTAGAAAAACAAAATTCTGGAACTTATATATTTTCTTTCAGTTTTGGGTTAGACTCATTTATGCAAATCTCCTTACACTTTGCATGCATTTCCCTGCACTCCCCTTCCCAACCACTGAGCTTTCACAAGTCTCCTGCTTCCCTTCAAGAGTCCCCCCTTTTCAAAACAAACGCCTCTCCTGAAAAACCAAACAAAACCAAACTCACCTCTCCCTTGAGTTCCACCCTGGTGAATATCAATCAATTCATTTCACTTGATCACTGAGTTCTGATGGCCTCTCATACTCGCCCCCTCAGAGTACAAACTGGTGCAAAGCACTTAGGGTTGTGTGTGAAATGTTGGTAGCTTGTGTCCACTGGAGGCACCTAGGAAGACAGGTCTGGCAGCCTCCTTCCCCAAACTCAGTTATCGGACACTGTGGAGTACAAGTCTGCTTTCACACACAGGGGGTCACCACGAGTTGTAATCAACTTGATGACAGCTGTTTTGTTTTTTTTTTAAAGTCAACCACTTTAAATGTTGCACACTTTCACCTGGCACTTCTAAGAGAAGGCTTCAAAACATTGGTAGAAAAATAGGAAAAGCCAATGAACTTTTGGAAGCTCCTTCTTATGTCTGAGGATCTCTCCTGAGGGCAGTGATAAAGCCCAAGCTGAAGCAAACCTTTCTTCAGCCGGAACAGCTGGTGGCTCCAGCAAGCCAATCTTTCAACAGCAGGACCACCAGGACGCCCTGGTGCAGTTAGAGGGCGTGAAGCAATCGTGAGACTTTCTTGGAACGAAAAGCCAACGGGATTCTGAAGCCCGGAAGTTCAAAAAAGTCTTGGGAAAAGTCCATCATCTATGAATTCCACTTTTCCACGAACTTTTAAAAGTTTCCTCACGTGTACACACACTAACTCGCATGCGTGCACACACACTCACGCACACACACTCTTAGGTGCCATCAACTTGGTTCTGACTCACAGCGATCATAAGTGTATCACAATCAAACATGGCCAAGTTCTGCATCATCCTCACAGGCTTATATTTGAGCCCCTGGTTGCAGCCACTGTGTGGTAGGCAGGGTTCTCTAGAGAAACAAAACCAGGACACTAATGATTATATATATCTATATATTTATATAGATAGATAACATAAGAAATAAACAGTTAATTAATCTATAAAGCAGTACAAATGGCTCAGTGCAACTCACTTCTGTGAGACGGCTAGTACAGTGGCAGTCCTTCAAGTCTTGGGGGCCATGGGGGTAGTCCTCTGTGGAGCAATTCAGGCTGTCCGGCCACAGGCAGCAAACAGCAAGCAGGTCACCAACAGTCAGCCAGATGACAGGGTCCGACGGTCCCCAGCTCAAGAGATGTACCTTCCAGCAGCGTGGCGAAGCAGGTCTTGAAGGAACCTCAAGTTACAGTGACCCAGTCCACGGGTTAGGTGTCCCACAGGTAGTGTAGCTTGCAAATGGAGGCACAGAACAAGCAAGGCAGCTGCACACTGGTGTGATGATCAAAGAGCGAGAGACAAGAAAGGCGAGGCTCATCGAGCCATTTATCTCTCCGCCCTTCAATTAATCCCCCATGTGTTCACTGGTCATGTTGGCACAAGAAACCTATCACACACACTGTGTCAGTCTTTCTCATTGAGGATCTTCCTGTGACTGCCCATCCACTTTCCCAAGAATGATGTCCGTCTCCAGGGACTGGTGTCTCCTAATAATCTGTCCAAGTCCATGAAATGGAAGTCTCGCCGTCCTCGCTTCTAGGGAGCATTCTGGCTACTTGTTCCAAGACAGATTTGTCCATGGTACTTTCACTGCTCGCCACCAGCACCATCATTCAAACACGTCGATTCTTCGCTGGTCTCCTTGGTCAATGGCCAACTTTCACATGCATATGAAGCGATGAAAAGTACCATGGCTTGGGACAGGAACATTTGAGTCCTAAAAATGTCCTCCCCGTTCCTAACACTTTAAAGATTTACCCAGTGCAGCACATCATTTGATTTCTTGATCACTGCCTTCATGAGCACTGGTTGTGGATCCAGGCTACGGCGAAATCCTTGCCAAGTTCAATCGTTATTTGTCCTGTCCCCTGTTGGTCTGGTTGTGAGGACTTTGGTCGTCTTTACATTGAGTTGTAACCTGCCGCCCTTGATCTTCCTCACCTGGAGCCCCAGGCCCTTCTTGTCTGTCCATTGGTCACACTGTCGGGGCTTGTGTGTGGCTGCGATACTGGAAGCTATGCCACTGGTATTTCAAATACCAGCAGGTCACCCAAAGTGAACAGGTCTTAACAGAGCTTCCAGACGAAGGATGGACCACACAGAAGGACTAGGCTGTCCACTTCTGAGGAATTGGCCACTGAGAACTTTAAGATTAGCAGCAGAACACATATGTACAAACCCCCAAACCGAAAGTACCACCTGCAGGGTCTCTGAGTTGATTCCACAGCGGTGTACTTATTATTTTGTGTATATAAATGTGTGTGTGCACAAGGAGACTTCAAAAATTCATGGAAAAATTGAATGAGAAGATAATGGAATTTTTCTTTGAGCTTTTTGAAACTCCCTCCTATAAAGTCTCTATGTTAGAATTGATTTAGAATGGTAGGTTTGTTTTGGGTTTTTTTTGGAGGTATGTGGTGTTACCTCCAAAAGTGAATTCTTACTCTGGACCAAGTGGGTCTGATCCATAACCACTCTGAGCTGAAGACAAATAACTGAGTTTATGAAAGGGTCAGACCCTGGGAGACACAGTAACCCCAGTTGTACCAGAGTGCTTTATGGCTTTATGGATTACAAGGCTTATAAAGTTTTTATATTTCCCCCCGCCCCCCTCCTGCCCCTCTTTAAATGTTAGTTGGAGATAACAAGCAGTTGCCAGAGTAATAAGGAAATGGGACAGGGGAAAACATATAATTGCTCAAAATGTCACCTCCTTCCCCCATATCAAGGGGCTTCTGCCTACTGCTTGCACCTCAAAAGGCTCAGGAGACCAGGGTTTATAGTATTGAAAACTCCTCTTAGCACTTCTAAGTTCTGGTCTCAGCCTTTACAGAAGCGGACAGGCCTGTTAGCTTGGACCAAGCTGACTCATTTTCTAATGGTTAATGGCCTGTGCCCATCACAGTGGCACTGCCAGGTAAGTGTTTGGCTGCTGCCCACAAGGCATAGACCCATCAGCCTCTCCGAGGCTGTAAAGATTTCCAGCCTGGGAAGCCCTCTGTGTAGGGCCACTGTGAGTCAGAATAGGCTTGACGGCGGTGGGATTTGGCGTGGGTTTTGGAGGTCAGTAGGGATGTCCCAGGAAGTCAAGGGTGTGGCGGGAGAGTAGTGTGGAGGACGCCTGTAAGAAGCTTTAGAGCCCAGAGTGACCACTCTGATGGACTGTTGGGCACAGAGGGGGCTGCAAGGAGACACCCTGGTTTTTGACACCCCTTGGTGACTGTCACATTATTTGTCAGGGCAGAGCATCTGGGAGGAAGAGTCCAGGGTCGGGATGTGGCAGTCCATGCTGAGCTTGTGATTGGAGAAATAAAATCAAAGGGAAGACTGTGGGACGAAGGGTAGGGCTGACCGCTCTCGTGGCCATTTCCAGGCCGGAGGCTTTTAAAGTCAATCTCCTCAAACGATCACCTCACCCTAGTGCTGGGCTCTCTGGACTCAGAAGTGACCACATGAACCCGGTTCCCCTCTTCTCTGATCCTTGCCTCCCTGTGGTCTGTTTCCAGGTGGTGCAGTACTGCAGACGGGCCTGGCAGCCGGAGCCTGGAGGAATTTGGATTGATCACTAATGGGCAAAGTGTTTGCCTTTCTGAGACCAACCTGCCAGTCAATCCTGGCTGCATCTCAGTCATCCCCAGGAGAACTTGTTGAGAAGAAGGAAGAGGACAGTGACATGAGGATGAGGAGGGAGCCGCTAAGAGTCCGCCCCCGTGCCTGGGACAGCCCTCATGGTAATGCCTTCCTCTCCTGTTTCTCTGGTTTGTTGGCTTTGCTCACCTGCAGTATAGCTTTCTGGTTAAACCTCACCAAACTCGCCGCATCAAGTCAATTCTGACTCATAGCGCCCCTAGAGGACAGAGAAGAATCGCCCCTGTGGTTTTCCGAGACTATAACTCTTTACAGGAGTAGAAAGCCTCATCTTTCTCCCAGGGAGAAGCTGATGGTTTTGAACTGCTGAACTTGTGGTTTGCAGCACGAGTAGCCCACATGCAACCAGGACTCCTCTTTGTGGATAATGGCTCTTCATCTTTTGTGCCTCCATTTCTGAATCTGTCAAACAGGGATGATGATCATAGCACTTAGCACTTGGGGTTCTGGAGAAGATTGAAAGAAAGAATAGCAGCGCCTCACACGAGTGTCTGTCTTTACTGACACACCTGAGAACTAGTCTGTTGTAAGCAGGGTGCACCTGCTGACGCTGAAACAGAAACCTGTGTCTACCTGCTCTCCTAGGAGTCTCCCCTTTTCCTTCTCCTTCTCCTAGGTGCCTCAGATGAGTGGAAGACCCTCCCTCTTAAATCGCCCATCTTGTGGGCGCTCCTGGCTCCAAGTCTAGTTAGGGAGGAGGCGGCTGGTTGATAACCTCACTGCTGTCGAGTTGATTCGGACGCACAGTAGCCCTGCAGGACCCTTGTGAGTTCCTCCTGGCTTCCAGACTCAAGGCGGTGCATTTAGTGTCCTGGACCCTACCCTAAGCTTTCTTCAGCGGTCCTCCCCTATGTGAAGATGTTTCAGTGCTCAGCTGCTAACCAAAAGGTTGGCGGTTCGAGTTCACCCAGAGGTGGAAGGCTTGATGATGTACTTCTTTCCCCAGCCATCAAACACCCAGGGGAGCACAGGTCTGTACTGACACACGATGGAATTGGCTTGCAGGCAGCTGGCTAAGTGGTGGGCGTGGGCTGGGGTACACTAGTCGTAGACTAGCCTGGGGAGTTGATCTCACCCCTCAGCCCCCATGATGCCCCTTTCGACTTGCTTCTCTCTCCTGGGAACAATCTGAATAGGGTGAATTCAGAGTGCTCCCATTTATACTTTCTGTAAGAATAATATGTTTTCTTTTTTAAAAATGTACTTTCTTCTGACCTCTTTTTTCCTAATAGGAAAAAAGACCTTGAACTGTTATTTAGCTTTTCAAAGGTTCCGGCCTTATCTCTCTGCTCTAATTTGTTAATAAGTTCCTTGAGGGAAATCTTTGTCCTCTGACTGTAGTCTATAATAGAATTTCCCTCCTTTAGTGGACTTCCACTAAACAAATGCTTGGTTTTTGTACAGCTTCTTGGCTTGGCCCTGCCTGCAGAACTTTTTTTTTCTCTTCCCTCTCTAGGCTTGGTTGGTTTACATAACCTCGGACAGACTTGCTGCCTCAACTCCCTGATTCAGCTATTCATAATGAACGTGAACTTCACCAAGATACTGAAGAAGTAAGACTGTTTTTGAGGCTAGGAAACATATATGAGTTTACATGTTCAAATCGTAAATTATCCACAGTGACTTGTATTTGTCAAGGTCTTCTTTCGAAACCTGCCAGAGAAGAGTCTGTGCTGACTCCTGACTATGCGGTAGAATCACCTAAGGAGTTAAAAAGCCAGCAAGCAAACAAATGAACAACCAAGTCTCTTGTCAGCCCAGCCCCCCACCAGATATTTGGTATCTTTCTCATTTGACCACTCTCAGTTGGTTTGGGTGGGAGCCAGGCGTTGGTAGTTTTTGCTCCCCTGCGGATCCCCCTCCCCCACTGTGATTATAAGGTGCCATCAAGATTGACAGTGTTTGAGCTAGGAGATACAAAGGGTTAATGTGTTGGAGGGTCAGAAGACAGGCCTCGCAATCATCTTGAGACTAGTTAAGACGGGAGACCCAGGTTTGGGGAGTGGGTACCCTCCCTCTCCGAGAAGGCTCACAAAGATGATGATAACTTTCCAAAAAAGGAATAAATCAACCATCAGCAATGTAATGGAGCACAGCTCTTCCCTGGCACGAAGTGTCACCGTGAGTGAGAACTGAAAACTGGGTTTGGTTGAAAAGGAGCTGGGACGAGGTCACTGTTGGAGGATAAGTCAATGGTAGGTCTGTGACCCTCTCTATTGATTCTCTCTCTCTCTATCTCACACACACACACACACACACACACACACCACGCTTGTGCACACTTTTCTTACTACTCATTCTTTTAGGGCCTGCACATTCTCCTTTTCCCACTCCATTGACATGGAAACCGAGAGATGCTTATAATTAATGAATCTTTGCCAAAAGACCGTCTTTCTAACTCTGTGTTTGCCTGTACGTTTTGCTGCTTGGCTCAATCCCTCTCCCGTTCATTTTAATGTGACCATCGGGCAGGGTGGGAAGAGGTAAGGTGCCTCTCTCCTCGCCAAAACCTATTTAAAACCACTCACTCCTCATTCTTTCTCTCTTGTTTCAGTTCTGTCGTTTTGGCTCTTAAATTTGAACTAATTTGGGGGTGTGGTGTGAGGCAGGGGTGCAACTTCATCATCTTGCATGTGGACATCCATTGGTTCCAGCACAGCAATTCACCCACACAGTTGTTCTCAACCTTGGCAGTGCCCACTAGAATCAGCTGAGGAATGTGATCATTCTGATAACTGGGCCCCATGCCTAGGAATTCTGATTTATCTCCTCTGGGGAATGATCCGGGCATGGGGATTTTAAAACTCTGCCCACGGGTCTAAGGGGGTTCTGGCTTTAATACATTTCTTTTCATTGGCAAAACTCTATCTAACAACACATGGCATTTGACACATCCATTCCAATGGCACACATTCTGTTCATCGTGTTGTATAACCACCATGGCTAGCCATTTCAAAATTTCTCCATCACCTTTCACCCCAAAGCTAGCGATTTCCTCTTCCGCTTGACCCACCCATGGTAACCACTGTTTTCATTTGTCAGGATAACGGTGCCCAGGGAAGTCGAGGCACAGAAGAGAAGTCTGCCCTGCCAGTTGCTGTTGCTGTTGGAGAAGATGCAGGACAGCCGCAGGAAAGCCGTGCAGCCCCTGCAGCTCGCCTACTGCCTCCACGAATACAAAGTGCCCTGTAAGCCGGGCCCATGCGCTCCCAGGGCCAGGGGCTTGAGCGAACGTGCAGAGAGGAGGGCAGGGGGTTGTTCACGGGCAGGAAGTAAATCAGAGGACATTAGGTAGACTGTGGACTTCTGTATTGGAGGGCATTTGTGTAAATCTGGGGGGTGGGGGGGAAGTGACAAGTCTCACATTTTTCCAAGGTGCAGAATGGATGCTGTCTACCCACATACTATTCACATACCACATGTTGTTTGATTCTCAGTAGCGTGAGCAAGCCTGAAAATATTCTGAAAGACAGTTCAGCCACATCTAAAGAATCCCAAGACAAACCGAATGAAGGAACAGAAAGGAGAAGCCATGCAGGACAAAAACGAATTTGTACATAGATGAGCTTATTATCATTGCCTTTACTTTGAGAGCTCATTTACTTATCACAGTCTAATTCATAAGTTCCCAAACTTATTTGGTCTACTGCCCACTTTTCAGAAAACAAACAAACAAAAACAAAAACAAAATTCAGCGCCCCTCCAGCAAGGAAAAACTTTTATACTATAGCCCATAACCCAGGATAAAGTGTAGATATCTGCTTTTCTGGATTGTTCCAGCACCACTTAGCAGGGAGGTGTGGCTCACTTTGGGAAATACGGATCTAATTTGACAACATTTTTATTATTCTCAGAAGAAACCCCACGGCTATTCCTTATCCTTTCTCTTGTTTCAATTCTGTCGGTTTAGTTCTTACATTTGAGTTAATTTGGGGGTGTGGTGTGAGGTAGGGGTCTAACTTTATCCTTTTGTGGGGGGCATCCATTTGTTCTAGCACAATTTGCTGAAAAGAATATTCTTTCCCATTGAATTATATAGGCACCCTTATTGAAAATAAATTGACCGTAAGCATAAGTGTTTATTTCTGGATTCCCAATTCTAGCTCATTGATGTTTATGTCTGTCTTTATGCCAGCACCAGGTTGTCTTGACAGATGTAGCTTTGTAGAAAAGGTTTGAAACCAGGAAGTGTGACTCCTCCAACTTTGTTTCCCCTTTTTCAGAATTGCTTTGTCTATTCTAGGCCCTTTGTATTTCCACATAAAGTGTAGAACCATCTTGTCAATTATGCAACAACAAAAAAAAGCTATCTGGGATTTTGATAGGATCACTGTGTGGATCCTTTTGAGGAGTATGTTATCTCTAAAAAATGCTGTGGAGGTACCATCATCTGATTTCCTGACTCAGGAGGAGAGAGAATCACCTTCATCAGCATCAGCTTGCTAAGGCCAAGTTCTCTGAGGCTGAGGTCAGACAGTGCCTTCGCCTTCCAACCTTCCCTCCCACACACTCTTTACTTCTCAGTTGGATTCAATAATTTGTTGCAATGGCCACATAGAATTCATAGACAATACAATTATGGGCTATACCAGGGAAGCTAACAGGTTACAATTCAGCACTAGAAATGCTTAGGGCACAGTTCTTTGGTCAGACCAGGCTCTTTCTAGCTGTGCCCTTAGGCAGGCCTCTCTCTAGCCCTTGGTCCTGTGGCCTAGTCCCTGCCCTGTTTGGGCAATGTTACAAAGCTCTTATACCACTGCTGATAAACGCCCAACAGGGAACTGTACTCCACCCCAAGCCTCAGCCTGAAGGCGCTAAGCATTCACTCAGTGGGTCAGCAACCTTAGCTTCCCAATTTAGTGCCTGGAGGGACCTCACTTGCAATGCAAGCCTCTTGCTGGAAGGCACTCAGTTTTACTCATCCATGGCCAGGGAGCCCCAAACAGGGTCTCAGCCTTTGGTTCTGCTGCTGCTGCTTCTCTGCCGTCCTGCTGGTACCACAGCGTTCTGTCCTTGGATCAAGGAGGTTCAATGTGCAGGGATGTTGGGGTCCAAAAGACGTGCTCCACTACTGGCCTTTCATTCTTGATCACACTGAGATTTCCACCCCTTTGGGCTGCAGAGATGGTTCATTAAAGAACTCAGCAGGATGGCAAAACCGACCAGTCCCCTTGTTAGATTTTCAATCCCAAATTAACACTGCTAATGATCACTCACAAGGGAAGCATATAATTATATCAGTAGCTTCCCTCGCCGTCTCTTATCCAGACCCACCAGACAAAGCTCTGTGGGTGGGAATTACAAAGACTGTGGCTAGGAGAGCTGCCGCATCACACATCACTGCAGCACACTATCTTAACAATATTAAACCTTAGGAACTATTAGCACCGTAGGTCCTTCCATTCAGCTATGTCTGTGATTCCTTTTGAAGAGTGCTGGAGCTTTCCTTGCGTATGTCTACTGCTTCTTTAATTGCCTTTATTCCTCAGTTTTTGATTTTTGATGCCATTGTCAATGGAATATCCTCTGCAAGCCAGTGCTAGTGTACAGAAGTGTGTAACGGGTGGGTGGGTTAGAGCTCCTTGTGCCCCTCTTAGCTATCATCTGCAGACACTGAGATAGTCTTTTCCTTTCTTATCCACCCAGACACTGTTTGTGAGTGACCCGGATTAGATATACGCATTGGGACAACTGCTAGACTCTAACAGCTAGAGTTGTAAGGAGGAGGCGGCTAACATCATGTACAAAAGGCAGGCAAACGAGTGGCTGGTTAAGATCAGAGTTAGAATAATGGATTAGTTCAATGCAGAAGAAATCCACTATTGGCTGTTGGTTCCATGTGGCTGGGCCCAGCCAGTGAGGCCAGTGGTGTTGGGTTGTAAGCAAAGGAGAAGGGACTTGTGGTGTGCAGTCCGAAGATACAAGTGTGTGGGATGGGAGCTCAGATGGTAAAAGGAGTCTCAAAGGACCAATACCAAGTGTGTTCTTCATGCTGGAGCTCTTAACATATAGTGGAAACTGAGCCCTGGTAGGGATGGAGAAGACCTAGTGACGATTGTACATTTGCATCTAGATGGCTAGGGCTTAGGAGTGGGGGAAGGGTGGCTGGGTGCTTCACTAATCGGCTGTGGTTTTTCTCTCTGGCCAGTATTTGTCCAGCACGATGCTGCTCAACTGTATCTCACAATGTGGAATCTGATTAAGAACCAAATCACCGATGCGGACTTGGTAAGAGACCAGAGAAGAGAGCTCAGAAGTTTAAGAGGCTGCTCATGTCATTCAATGCCATTCGTGTTTATGAAGTGGGGAGGGAGGATTAAAAGCGGTAGCCCCAGAAAATGCTTATTGCAGTCCCATAATAGTATGACTTTAAAATCTTTTTGCACCTTCATGGGCAGGAACCTGTGTTGTGGGTGCACCTCCAGGTTGGCAGCTGGGCTGTTTGTCTTACCTCCCCCTCTGCCCCTCTTGCAGGCAGAGAAGCTGCAGGCCATGTACATGATCCAGATGAGGGAGTCCTTGTTCTGTCTTGACTGTTCCATGGAGAGAAGCAGAAACAGTAACATGCTGACCCTCTCGCTATCTCTTTTTGGTGTTGACTCAAAGCCCCTGAAAACCCTGGTAAGAGTTTTCTCTTGGAGAATTTGTTCCCCTGCAACCCAATGTGGCCACCGCCCCTTTGCTTCTTTCAACTGACTTTGGCTTTTAAAAAGACTCCTGGGTTCAAAGCCCGTCAGCAGTGCCACGGAGGAAAGGCCTGGCCCTCCGTTTCAGTAAAGAGCAGAGTCCAGAAGACCGCATGGAGTCATTCTCCTCCGTAACCCATGGGGCACCCTGAGCCAGAATCAGCGTGGTAGCAGCAGTGGGCTTCTCATTTACATGGCTGTAGCTAAGTGCTCCTTTAATTTAGCAAGTATGTGTGTGTGCTTATATATATGCGTGTATGTGTGTATCTGGGATTAAAAAGTTACATGGAGAAATTCTGTTATATTCTCATTCCATTTTTCCATGGACTTTGTGAAGCGTGTGTGCGTGTGTGTGTGTGTGTGTGTGTGTGTGTACACATACATATACCATATATACTCGAATATAAGTCAACCTGAATACCAGCCGAGGCATCAAAAGTTACCACAAAAACTGCATAAAGAAGGTGCTGAAAAAACTTGGCTTATACCAGAGTATTTACAGGTATATTTCCTTCTGGTTCCCCCAACTGGCATGCTGTCAGTTTTGTATCAGATTGGCAGTTCAAACCCACCAGTAGCTCTATTGAAGAAAGATGAGGCTGTTTGCTTCCACAGAGATTTATGGTCTCAGACACCCTACATCGAGTCAGGAGGAGGCAGGCAGTGGTTTTTTAAAAAAAATTTCTTTCACCCATAAATACTTTTTTAGATCTCACCAAGCGCCGTGCGCCATGCCGCACTGGCCTGATGCTAAGGGGGGCAGTGGCGGGAACCGGAGCTTTCTTCGCCATCACAGAGGAGGAGGGAGGGTGGGTGGTACCTGGGATGGAGACCCCAACCCTGCTCTCGGCGCAGGAGGCGGCCCTGCGCTGTTTCTTCCAGCCCGCCGAGCTCGCCGACGGCTGCAGGTGCTTCTGCGAGCGCTGCGGGAAGAAGACCCGCTGGAGACAGGTACTCCTCGTGCCACCAGCTCCTTCCTCCGTCCGCTGTCCGCTGTCCGCTGTCCGCGCGGGCTCTCGGTCCTTCCCGAGCCGGGTGTCCCAGCCACTGCACGGGAGGAGGGGGGAGAAGAGGCTGAGGCCAGACCTCATCGCCGAAACCCACAGGCCGCGCGGACACTCGAGAAGGGGGGGCCGAGTTGACCCTGCGGGGGGCCACCCGTGTCCCCCAGGATGGTTGTGCTCCGCGGGGGTCCAATGGCTCACTTTTCTGGAAGGGCCTTTCTCCCGAGGCATCTCCGGGCGCCTTTTGATGCACAGCGGGGCTGTTTACGCCACCCAGGGATTTCCCGAAAGCGCGGCGAGCGTGTGCTTATTTATTGATTTTCGCGAGGCTTAAGACCATGCAGCACCCCCCTCCCCCGGGAGGTTGTTTGTGGCTTCAGTGGCTGGGGGGGCCTGTGGTCCGTCTGCTCGTTCTTGGGGGAGCACCGCACTGGCACAAAGGGCGGCCTGTTCAGCACTTCCAGTTGTCCCACCTCTCCGTTGCTCTCTCTTTGGGAAGAAGCGCTGTACCGCATTTCTGTGAACTTCCCCCTTCCCGGCCTCCGGGCTTCATCGCCACTGTGCCTTTGCTTTCCAGGCCTGGACGCTGAACTATTTGCCCCAAACCCTGACCATCCACCTCATGCGGTTCTCCATCAGGAACACGAAGACCGAAAAGGTTTACCACGCATTGCGATTCCCGCAGAGCCTGGATTTCACGCAGGTCCTTACGGCCGGGCAAGACCTCTGCAATGCGGAGGCCCAGGTGAGGTGTCCCAGCCTCTCAATTGGTCCTTGTGTGGAAGTCACTGCTCCTCAGCAGCGTGCCATGCCCAGACAGAGGCAAACTCCCCCACTGCTTGGTGCAGGATGCATAGAACCATACTCATACATTCAACAGACCTGACGTTTTAGGCAATATTTTAGCGATGGGAAGCTGTGTGTGCTCAGTAATTATGATGAGCTGTGTTATGATTTACTGTCTGGAGATGCCCCAGAGATTTTATGTCTGTGTGCTGGGTTTGCCCTTCCATGCCTTGTGGCACTAAGGGGAGGCAGCCCCTTCCTTCTGGGATAACGTTCGGTCCTTTCAAATACAAAGACAGACACAGTATTTTGGGTTCCAGGTAGAGTACTAGCTAAACTTTCTTTCTTTTTAAAATTATTATTAATTGGGATTTAATACACTTCTCATATCATTCCGTAGATCAATCACGTCAAGTAGAATTGTACAATTGCTACCAGTTTCCAAACATTCTTTTTCTACATGGACGCCTCGACATCATCTCTCTTTTACCTACCCTCCCCACTGCCTGCCCCATGATACCCCCTGCCCCCTGAAACCCATATTCTACTTGCTGTCCCTCTAGGTTCATCAATCCTGGGATTTATATACCAAAAACCAGAAAAGCATATACCACAACTTCAAGAGGGTGACCTTCAATGACATCACACCTCTGAGATACACCCCAATAAACTTTCTTATTAAAATAGACTGTGCCCACTTTGGGGTTAATGAGAAAATAGCTAGGTCATTGGGCCAAGCTAAGTCAGAGTTGAGTTGAATTTAGTTGTCTTGAGAACACATTTTACTTAATTATTTTTTCTCCATAGGTTTGAAATGCTATATTTAGAAAAGGCTATATTCCGATATGTGCCTAGGTCTGTTATGGGAATGTCTGTTCTATTTCATGGGCTGGCTTGTTGACTTCCAAGTCCTCATCTCTTGCCTAGACTTTTCTGAGCCCTAAGCCCACAGTACAAACACCCCCTTCCTTAGAGAATGTCAGTACACAGATTTTACATGGTTCCCAATGGAATACATTTTCTTCATTCTCAGGCTATTCCTTGGCCAACTGTTTCATATTTAACTTCATGCTATTACTATCTTCTTGATTTCCAAGCTAGAAATCTGGGGTGCTCCTTTAACTTCTTCTATTCCCACCACCCCATTCAACCAGCTAAGTACAGTTAGTGATTCCTATCCAGTGTTGCACGGAATCTGTCCCCTCCTTGCCAACATGATGAGGGTAGCACAGGCATTGAGAGCTTGAGCTCTGAAGCCAGGTCAGCCTGGATTTAAATCTTGCATCGTTTTGCCCTGGTGGTGCAGTGGTTCAATACTCAGCTGCTAGCTTAAACATTGGTCATTCAAACCCACCAGTGACTTGCTGGAGAAAGATGTGCAGGCTGTTTCCCTAAAATGATAGCCTTCGAAACCCAGTTCAACGCTGTCCCTAAGGGATCCCTCTGATTTGCAATCTTTTGAGCCGCAGAAGGATTGGTTGGATTAGTTTTGCTTATCGATTTGCCTTGGGAAAATTACCTTACTTCCCTGAGCTTAGATTTTGCCTCCATAAAACAGGATTTATCATGAATGCTACCTACATCATAGGGTGGTTTTCACAAATGAAAGAATTTATGTAAAGGATTTAGTTTAGACGCATAGCAAATGCTGTTAGGGAACTTTCTAGAATATGGAATGTTAGAATCAGAGATGCAGGAGAGACAAGATGAGAAATTCAACGATGGGAGATAGGCAACCTGAGAGGGGCCTCTCACTTGAGTGAAAAGGTCTTCCCTGAACAGACAAGCAGGGACTGATCAAGGAGTCAGTCTTCGGATATATTTGTGGCGTTTTGGCAAATTCCAGGAAGCAGGGTCATTTGCACGCAGATGGAAGATTACTGAACAAGATGTTTCTTCAGGTGTGTGTGTGTACGGTTTGCCCAAGAAGATCACTATAATGGCTGCTTCTGACCCTAATTATTCAAGCTCCTACCATTTCTTTCTTGAGGGACCCTAATTGTGTTAGTCCAGGTTGACTAGAGAAACAAACCCAGAGACACTCATATGTGTGTAAGAGAGAGCTTTATGTCAAAGAGCAATTGTATATTGAGAAAACATCGGAACCCAGTCCAGATGAAGTCCATAAGTCCAATATCAGCCCATATGTCTGATACTAGTCCACAAATTCCTCTTCAGACTCACGTAATACATGCAATGATGCTGAATGCAGGAAGATCACAGACCAGTGGGTGGAAACTCTTGTGGATCCAATGGTGGTGGAAGCATCTCAGCACTGGTGTGGGTCTCCAGCTCTCTGAGTGTCTTAACAGCAGGAAGGTGAAACAGAGAGCGTGTGGCCCACATTCAGGGAGAAAGAGAGGAAGTTCCCAGAATCCTCATGAGAAGGCCATGCCCACAAGGAGGTGCTAATCAGGCTGTGTGTGACCTGATTGACAGGCTAGACTTGACTCCTACACTTATTTATCAAGTTGACATGAAATCATGTAACTGCCACACTAATTTATCTCCGTGGCTTATTATTTAAGTGTGTTTCTAAAGCAAATCAGACCCTGAAGGCACTTACATGGATCTGCAAGACTCACAGGACAGACTTCCTTCCACTTTGGCCTCTGCAGCCTCAGCCCTTCCCTGCTTCAGGACGCTTCCATATGCTCTGCTTTGCTGAGGAACCTTTGCAAGTTCTCGGCCCACATGCAGGCATGCCCCTCCTCCCAGCCTCTCTGCCAAGGTCGTGTAGCCTTCAAGATCCACTCCAGCATTTCCTCTCTGGGGAGCCCAGCTCAGTCTTTCCTCAGCTGGTTGTTTTTCTCTTTTTTTTTTAGAGGAGTGGGGCATGTAGCAGGGAGAATGGAGTCTTCCCAAGTTTGCCGTTTAAATTTGCCCTTTAATTAGCTGCGAGGTCACTGAAGTCAAGTGCTTTCGAAGCCACCGCTGCCTGGCATTACAGTCGATGCTCAGCATGTGTGTAATGAAATAATGCCGCCTTACCCCAGGCTAGGGTGAGCAAGGGAGAGGGGTGGGGTGAGTCATGTTGTGCTTTGTCTCCTTCCAGCGGGAGGGCCAGTATGAGCTCTTTGCTGTGATTGCCCACACGGGGATGTCAGACTTTGGGCATTACTGTGCCTATATCCGGAATTCTGTGGACGGCGAATGGTTCTGCTTCAACGACTCCAGTGTCTGTCGGGTAAGAAACATCCATCTTGCCTTCTTGCCCTGGACTCTGGTCTGGGATTAGCCACCTCTAATCAATTCTGGGAGTCTCTGTTAGTCTGGGTAAACTAGAGAAACAAAATTCATAGACACTCATATTTTATAAGAGTTTTATATAAAGGGTAAGTGTACATTAAGAAAGCATCCCAACCCAGTGCTGTCCAAGCCCATAAGTCTGACATTAGCCCATATGTCTGATACCAATCTACAAAGTCCTCCTCAAACTCACAAAACACACACAATGACGCCGACTGCAGGAGGAAAGCTGAATCAGTGAGCGTGTAAGCATCTCAGTGCTGGCAGGGGGTCTCTGTGTGGCTTCTCCAGCACCCAGGGCTGCATCAGGGTAGGTCCATGTGGCTTCTCCTCGGGGATGTCTCTCAGGAAGTGAGCCTTGTCAGCTGAGGCAGAGAATTAGGTAAGGCAGCCGCATGCTGGTCTGACCATCGGAGAACAAGAAACAACACAGACGAGGCTCGCCGAGCCATTTATCTCTCTGCCTTTCAATTAATCCCACATGTGTTCATCAGCCAGGTTGGCACAATAAACCTTAACTAACACAGAGTCCTTGGGTGGTTAATGTGCCCAGCTGCTAACTCAAAATATGGAGGTTGGAGTCCACTCCGAGGTGTGATCACCCAGAGGTCAGAGTTGACTGCTGACCACTGGTTTATGGTTTAATACATTCTGAGCTCAGGACTGCATGGGTTCTTGATGTAAAGACACAATGTGATCTTGTTCTATGAGCGTGGGTCCTATGGTGGGTTTACAGCCTTTATCTACTTGGAAGTCTGCCCTTTGGTACCCAGTGGTATCAGAGCCCGCTTACCTCTGGGTTTAGGTTTTTGGTGTTGTAGGCTCAGTGCCCTTCATGCTCTATGGGAAACTTCTGAAAGCAAGAAGAGCTAGTAGTATGGAAGTTCGAGCTGTAGACCAGACCTAACCAAGTTTAAACAGCGAAGCAAGAGTAATAAAAGAACTTCATATACGTGGCATTTTATCATTACATGTTTCAGGGCTTTGGGAGTTCCTAGTTTGAGTTTAGGAGCCCTGGTAGTGTAGTGGTCATGCATTGGACTGCTAACTGCAAGGTCAGCAGTTCAAAGCCACCAGCCACTCTGGTAGAGAAATGGAGCTTTCTACTCTCTAAAGAGTTGCAATCTTGGAAACTCACAGGGGCAGTTCTACCCTGGCCTATAGGGCCACTCTGAGTTGGAGTCAGCTCGAAGGCAGTGAGTGAGAGGGTGCGTTTGTCTGGAAGAGCGAGAGGCAAATGGTTGGCTGGCTACTGGACTTCATCTGCTTATGTCCTTTCAGGTGACCTGGGAGGACATCCAGTGTACCTATGGGGATCATCACTACCGCTGGTAAGAGGAGTGTCTGGGTGGCAGCAATCTGCTGAACTTGGGGCTGCTCAAGATCGTTGACACTCTCATGGGTCCAGTTATCACTTACCTGCTGATGACTCTCCAGTGACTAACTTCAGCTTCATCTTTCAACATCCGTCCCTTTTTGAACAGTTTAGACTCCCCAAGTAGCACATCCTCCACCACCCTTCTTTGACTTTGCGCGTACAGTTCCTGGCATGATTTGCATCTAGTCAAACTCCTACTCATGCTTCAATACGCCTCTGCTCTTGGCTTTTCCTTACTCTGCAAAGCTTTCAGCAACCTGCCCAGGCAGCGTTAGATTTGTAGGAATTTTTTTGGTGGTGGTTGGGGTGTGTGTGTGTGTGTTCTGGATTCACTGCATTTTGAGCATACCTCCTTTTCCAACAAGGATCCCATTGTATTATAATTACTTGCTTACCAAACTTTCTTTAACTTGAGACCATGAGCTCTGGGACGGCTACACCAAACCATGGTTCTGATGAGTAAAGACTGTAGGGCAGAGTCGAACTGTCATACAGGGGTTTCAAGGGTCATCTTTACCGAAGCAGACAGTCACACCTTTTCCCTTTAGCGTGGCTGATGGGTTTGAACTGGTGACCTTTCGGTTAGCAGATGAGCACTTTTAACCAAAGCTACTTTTGGAGGGGGCAAGGATCAGATTGTGCTTTGTTTTTCTATCCCCCTTGCCCGGTACAGGAGCCCCGGTAGTGCAGTGGTTACTTATTGAGCTGCTATCCGTATGGTCAGCAATTTGAAACCACCAGCAGGTCCATGGGAGAAAGACTTGCTTTCTACTCCCGTACACAGTTACAGTCTCAGAAACCCACAGGCGGTCACCTGGTCAGCACTGACTCGATGGCAGTGAGTTTGGTTTTGGTTTTGCCTGGTCCTACAGTGGCTTCCATCTCTCACTCACTGTCACTCAGTTAGGATGGCTCAGAGGGACTCTATACGACACTGTAGAATTAGGTGACCAGATTTTAATATTGGTAAAGCAGGGCACCATTGATAAAACTCATATCCTGGCGAAATAGCCACATGGCAGCCCAAAACCGCATACCCTAGCTTGTCGTGCATTCTTTCCAAAAATTGGTACTTTTTAAAAATGCCGCGGGACACGGGAAAAATTGTTAAAAATCAGGACTGTCCCGCCAAAAGCGGGGCGTCTGGTCACCTTAGTGTAGAACTGCCCCTGAGAGTTTCTGGAACTGCAAATCTTTACAGGAATAGAAAGCTTCATTTTTCTCCCTTGGAGCAGTTGTTGGTTTCAAACTACCAACCTTTTGGTTACATTTATTAAGTACTTATTGCATTAAAAAAAAACACCGTAACTACAGAGGGGAAGTGGACAATGGTGGTTCAGTGGTAGGGTTTCCACCTTCCTGGGCGGAGACCTGGGTTTGTTTCCCAGTTAATGCACTCAGGAGCTGCCACCAGTCACCAGCTATCAGTGAAAGTGTGTGTGTTGCTACGATGTTGAAGAGGTTTCAGGGAACTTCTTGCAAAAACAGACTAGGAAGCATGACCATCTACATGTGATACTTAGCCATGATCACAGCAGACCAAGCCACAAGTCCCCAAGGAGACAGTGCAGGGCATCCCGTTGTACCTATAACTGTCCCAAATCAGTGGCCACGTGACGGCAGCTAACCACAACAACAACAGAGGGGTGCTTAGAGAGAAAAACCTAGATGAAGTTAAAGCAAAGAGGACTTTTTCTAATTTTCTGTTGAAATTTTGGGACAGAGGTGATTGTATCCCAAAAGGAATATTCAAGCTGATTTTCAGTTGCAAAAGAGGCCTGATAATTTTCAGAATAACGAATTACGTTTTATATGAAATCCTTTTCTAACATTCCACATATCCTTTCTCTTCGGTTTCTTTCAAGCATCTCTCTTAGAGACTCAGGTTTTGTCATTTCCTGGTTGTTAGTTTTTCCTCCATGATTTTGATCAGGGCCGAAAGCTAAAAAATGTGTGTAAGGAATGTTTCTTCATTTTCAAAAACGACGATTGCAGACCAATACTTTGAGTGTACAAATGACACCCAGTGTGAGCCGTGGTTTTGAACTCCAGACTCCAGATAACAAGAGCTGACATTTGTGTCTCCTTTAGGTTTTCTTGTAACTACTGTCCCTGTAGCCTAAGAGAACCCGTAGATAATATGTCAAATAAAGTGCCTGGCTGTGTTCTGATAAGGTTTCATTGACAAAAACAGGTGGCAGGCCACATGGACCCATACATTGGCCCTCCCTAGTTTAGATGGAAACTCACAGAAATGCAAGGATCCTTTTCTCAGAGTCCTCTCTCAAATGATGGAGGTGTGAAGACTTGACACAGCAACCTAGAAGTTGCTGATGCTGGTGCTACCAGGGATCGGCGCGGCATTTGGCTAGAAATGCTTCACGTCTGCTAAGGCTGATGGCTATCTCTTCCTCTTTCTAGGAGAGAAATGGCCTATCTTCTGGTCTACATGAAGAGGCAGTCCTAGTGGATGTGTTCTAAACCTAGAGACAAATGGCATCTGCCTTTTCTAGCTGTCTCTGGATCTGATGATTCACCTAGGGACTTTTGCAATGAGGAGAAGCATATATTTCATTCTGTATTATTAAACTTTATTTATAACCTGGGGTTAATTATAAAAATATTTAATAACGAAAATGGCACAGGTCCTGATCAGTTGGAATGGGTGCCCATACCAGTGGACCCTGGCCTCCTGGCTGGAGCTGAGTCCTGGATGCACCTTGCTGTGCACAGTGTTAACTCTTTAGTTGGGAGATTCTGGAGTCCAAGTGCTCCCAGGGGAGGAGAGACCAGGCCAGCACCGAGGAGGCATTTGGGTGGCAGGGGGCAGTGGTATTTCAATATTTTGCAACTGATGTGCCCATTTTATGAGTACTGGATGAATATCAACCCTGTTTCTAATTTAATAATTTCAGAACCTACATTTCTTAAAATGCAATTATTGTTATTGCTATTCAGTTATTCAGCAAATATTTTTTCTCCGTGTGACTATACTAGACTCAATGATGAATAAAGCTCTTGCATTCAAAAGAAGCATTCTGTTTAATTGAGGTGATTAAGTAAACACAGAGGGTTTGTGAAATCACTGTTTTTGAGGATTGGGGAGGGCAGTGGGAGAAACATTCAGAAAGAAGGTTAGAGTAAAGGACAATCCATATTTGGAGAAGAACAAAATCCAAGACATGGTTGGAAAAGACAAGGCCTAAAGGCCTTCACCATCTGGCTTCCATTGACATAAGGATGCCAGTAGTGAGGGATATGGATAGTGGGGCTCGGAATGTAGAGGGTCTTGAACTGGGCTAAGAAGTTTGAATCTAATTTGCTAAGCCACAAGGAACTATTGGAAGGGTTTGAAGAGGGGGGCATCCCCTGAAAATAAGACCTACTTACAGTTTTGCCTCTCACTGAAATATAAGACATTCCCTGAAAATAAGACCTCCCTGAAAATAAGGCCCCCAGAAGCTACTGTAATTCTGAACTCTGGACCATAGTGGCGGGTGCCGCCATGCAGCTCACTGTTGGCTGCAGCGCAGCTGAAGCAGGCAGGAAGTGTGAGGTCTCTTTTAATAAAACAATGAAACAATAAACAATAAATGTGTACTGTATTCTTCATGGAAAGATAAGGCTTCCCCTGAAAATAAGACCTAGCACCTCTTTGGGAGCAAAACTTAATATAAGACACTGTCTTATTTTTTGGGAAACAGGGTGGGTCTTACCTGCCAAACCACTAAGCATCCTTATCCTGCCAAGCTGGCACAAAACCAGAACTACTAAAATGTGCTCCAGGGACTTTTCCCTCTTGATAACATGTCCAAAATACAAGAGACATAGTCTCTCCATTCTCACTTCTAAGGAGCATCCCAGCTGTACGGACAAGACAGATTTGCTCATTTCATATTTCTGGCCCTTTAAAGTATATTCAGTATTTTTGCCAATACCATAATCCAAATGTATCAATTCTTTTCTGATCTTACTTATTCATTGTCTAGCTTTTACATATGTATGATGAAGTTGAAAATACTATGGCTTGGGTCCTTGAAGTAACAAAGAGGTTTATTGAAGCCGATTTGCCCAGTGCAATAAATACGTCACTTGATTTATTGACTGCTGTTTTCAGGTGTGTTGATTGTGAATCCAAATAAATCTAAATTCTCGACAACGTCATTCTTTTCTCCCTTTATAGTGATGCTGTCTTTTCATCCACTTCTCAAGACTTTTGTTTTCTTTACATTGAGTTGTAATCCATACTGAGAGCTGTAGTGTTTGATCTGCAGGCATGAGTGCTTCAGTTTGTCCAGTAGCATTGATAAAATCTATTGCTGTTTCATGAAAAAAGCTGACGGTGCCCGGCTATTAAAAGATATAGTGTCTCGGGTTTTCAAGGCTTGAAGTTCAACAAGTGGCCATCTAGCATGGAAGCAACACAGCCAACATGGAAAAAAATCACACCAGCCTGTGTGAGCACGAGGTGTTGATGGGATCGGGCATCAGGCATCAGAAGACCCAAAGCAAACAATTATATTGATGAAAATGATGGGAGTTGGAGTGGAGACCCAAAGCCCATCTGTAGATCATTGGACATCCCCTCCCTGAAGGGTCACAAGGAAGGAACGAGTCAGCCAGGGTGCAGCATAGCACTGATGAAATACAACATTCCTCTAGTTCTTTAGTGCTCCCCCCTCCTACTATCATGACCCCAGTTCTACTTTACAAATCTGGCTAGACTGGAGCATGTACACAAGTACAGATAAGAGCTCTCTACACACAGAATCCAGGACGGATGGATCCCTCAGGAGCAATACCATGGGGGCAGGGGGAAGGTGGGGGGGAAACAAGGAACCCACCATAATGATCACCATATGACTGCCGCCCCCCCCCAGGGGACAAACAACAGAAATATGGGTAAAGGGAGACAGCTGATGGGGTAAGATATGAAACTAATAGTAATTTATAATTTATCAAGGGTTCACAAGCGCAGGATTGTGGGTGAAGAAGGGAAAAAAGAGGAACTGAAACCAAGGGCTCAAGTAGAAAGAGATGTTTTGAAAATGATGTTGGCAACATGTACAAAAGTGTTTGATACAATTGATGTATGGATTGCTACAAGAGCTATAAGAGCCCCCAATAAAAATGACTTATTAACAAATCTATTGCTGTTTCATTTCCAGGTACCCTGCTGCCCTCTATCCACACAATGTCCGCACTGACTCCCAGTGTTCACCGCCAGGGTCTCTTTTCAGGTCCACCTTAAAAGAACAGGTGGAAGCTAGGAGCATCAGCAGCTTTCTAAATTCAGGAATTAAGAGCAGTCTAAAGCTGATTCCTATGAGGTAGACGTCAAACATACTTCCACTCTCCAACCTTGTAATTTTTAAACACATTCTGGCAGCAGCCGCCCTGCCCGCAGCACTTCACTTCTCTGTGGGGTTTGGTATTTTATGGCAGTGAGCATACTCAGGAGTATATGCTTTATTAGGGAAGTCAGAGGCTACAATTTGGGATTGGGATCACTTTGGAGGTGAAAAAACAACTCCTGATAGCAAGTTCAAAATCCGTTAGTTTGTTGGACTGTAGAGGCTGGTGTGTTGCTGTGACCCTGGAAGCTATGTCACTGGCATGTCAAATGCCAGCAGGGTCATCCAAAGGGAACAGGGATCAGTGGAGCTTCCAGACTAAGAGCGAACAATAAAGAAGGTATCCGCTGGCCACTTCAGAGGAAGTCGCTGCTGAAAGCCTTATGCATAGCGTCCAAACATCGTCAGAGATCAAGATTTACTGTCTTGGAAACCCACGTGGGTGGTTCTACTGTTCTATAGGGTCACTCGGCGTTTCAATCGACTTGATGGCAGTGAGGGATATATATTTCAGAGAATGCCCAAGCAGCACTACTGTTGTCATGGGTGATCTGTTGGGTGTTTGTCACAAGGTCAAGAGTTCAAACCTAGCAGTTGCACCAGGAGTGAAAGATGAGGTTGTCTGCTCCCCTAAAGATTCACAGTCTCAGAAACCCAAAGGGAGCAGTTCTACATTGTTGTATAGGGTCACCGTGTGCTGAAATTGACCCGATGGCAGTCAGTTGGCTTGGAGGTATTGTTTCTATCCCTGTGTGGGGCTTGCCACTTCCCAAGTGCTTTAGGAGGAACAAGGATACTACATGTCCTCTTAGGAGTCTACACTTTGTGGAGCACGTGAGGCTGAGTTTACTAGAGCCTCACAGCCAGTGGCACTTAAATCTGTATAAGGACTTTATATCCAGAAAGACCATGGGCCCGATGCTCGCCAGAGACTCTCAGACTCTGCAGCTGCTGAGGGAGGGCTCAATGTGGTGGGGTGGAGACGGACCAAAAAGCTGGTGGTTTGAATCCACCCAGCAGCACTGTGGACAAAATCCTGGCGATCCACTTCCATAAAGGTTGTAGCGGGGAAACTGATTACAAGGATCTACATATAACCTCCTTCCTGGGGGATGGACAACAGAAAAGTGGATGAAGGGAGATGTTGGACAGTGTAAGATATGGCAAAATAATTTTTAATAAATTATCAAGGGTTCATGCATGAGGGAGGGGGGAGCGGGGAAGGAGGGGAAAAATGAGGAGCTGATGCCAGGGGCTTAAGTGGAGAGGAAATGTTTTGAGAATGATGAGGGCAATGAATGTACAAATGTGCTTTACACAATTGATGTGTGTATGGATTGTGATAAGAGTTGTATGAGCCCCCAATAAAATGATTTTTAAAAAAAGGTTATAGGCAGGAGCTCCCTACAGAACACTTCCATTCTGTAATACATGGATGGAGTTGCCATGAATTGGAATCCACTCAATGGTAACAGGACTGGTTTGGGTTTTAGATCCACTGAAGGTGGTGGTTTCAATAGTCTCTTTAAATGTACTGTTAAAAGCAATAGACTCAGGAGGGTAGGAGTGTAAGACTCCGTCTTTCAAAAAATCACCACAGACCATGTAAACCTGCAGATAGGCTTGGTGGGTGCTGCTTTAGTGACCCACCCCTTCTCTTCCTTATTTCCAGTAGGAAGAACTCTTTCCATCCGAGGGGTTTCCCTAGCACTTTGGGGCCTGATTGTGCTTTTCACACTGGCTCTTTCATAGCGGGCTATGCACTAAGTTCCCAACCACAAGGTCAGCAGTTCAAACTCACCAACTTCTCAGTGGGAGAAAGATAAGGCTGTCGACTCCAGTAAGGATTTAGTCTTGGAAATCCAAAGGGGGCAGTTCTACTGTACCCTGTAGGGTCACTTTGAGCTGGAGCAGCCTTGTTGGCAGTGAGCGAGGGAGCAAGGGAGCTTGTTAGGGGATTTTTAGTGACTTTCTCCCATGGTGCTTCCAGCTGGGCTGGCACTTCCCATCTGAGCTTGGCAGCTCAGCACATTAACTGTTTGTACTACCAGGGACTACAGAGGAGCCACCATCTTTCCCAGAGCTGTCTGCATTCTGTTCCAGGCATTTGATATCCGTTTTAACCCTCATGAGAATTCTGTAAAGAGCCCTAGTGGCTCAGTGCTGAAGTGCTCGGCTGCTCGAATCCACCAGACTCTTACAGGCGAAAGACGTGGCTGTCTAATTCTGTTAAGATTACAGCCTTGCACAGCCCATGTGGCAGTTCTACTCTGCCCCATAGGCCATTTATGGCAATGCACACGGCTTGATTTTCGAGAACCCTAAAAGGGAACTATTTAATCAACTGGGCGAAAGATGGGGCTTTCTACTCCCATAAAGAGTGACAGTCTCAGAACCCACAGGGCAGTTCTACCCTGTCCTAGAGGGTCTCTATGAGTTGGTATGAACTTGATGGCAGTGAGGTGGGGTTGAATCCATCTGGCGACTGCAACGTGCAAGAAGTTCAGTAAACTGCCCAGGTCACACAGAGTGTAACAGACTTGGGATTCAGACTGAGACACCCATCCTCCGAAGTCCATAACCTTCTCCAACCAACCAACCAACCCACCCGACCGACCGACCGACCGACCGACCGACCAACCGACCAACCAACCAACCAACCAACCCAAATCCACCCCCCCAAACAAGAAAACCATGAAAAACGCCCGCCATCGAGCCTATTCTGACTTATATTGACTCTACAGGGCAGAGCAGAGCTACTCCTTTAGGCCTTCTGAGACTAATGCTTTAGGCGGGGAAGACCGCTTCACCTTCCTCCTGGGTTTCATTGCCCAACACAACACAGCGCCATCAAGGCTACCGTCTTGCCTCTGCCAGCCGCCCCCGCCTCCCCCATGCCTGTTTCCGCCAATGCGTCAAGAAGAGACTTCCTATAACATCACAATCCTGTTGCGATCTGGTCACCACCTATGCTTGTGACATCCACAAACCGTTAGGGGGCAGTTGATGAAGTGCCTGCCCCTCTGCAAACGTAGTTGCGCACAGCGTTCTCCTTTACTCTGCAGATCGTGTCTTGTTTAACGCAGCTTTCTTGAGACACAAGTTTCCATACCATTAAGTGCTCGTTTAAAGCGCACGGTCCAACGGTGTTTGGGACACGACGAGGTTGTGCAATCTCCAGAATCTGATCCTGGAGCGGGCAAGCTTACCTTCTGCCCGAGGGTCATTTCCCGGGGCCTTGAAGCCGAGGACTCAGGTCTCATTACCAGATAGCGCTGGCTGCAGCGTCCCCGCCCGGCAATCAACCACCCGCCTTTGCTGCCCACGCGCACACCCGCGAGCTCGCCGGCCGGGCCTCGGGGAGGTGGGCGGGCCTCGCGCGGCGCCGCCAGCCAATCAGGGTCGTCCGCCAGCTGACGCGCGCGCAGCCTCAGCGGGCAGTCGCCGCAGTTGTGGCCGAGACTGCGAGCGGGAGCCATGGGGAAGATACCGGCCTTGGGACTGGGTACCTGGAAGGTACGGCTGCAACGCGGTGGGGAGTGCAGCCGCCCCTGCTGTTGGCTGGCATGCCCACTCCTTAAAGGAGCAGCCTGTGGATTGGGCAAAGCTGGATGAATTTGTCTTGTTTGGGGCGATCCCCATTCCCCAGGCTTCTCGGGGCGCCCTTTGCTTTTCCTGGCCTCCTGCCCTATGGCCGACTTGGGAACCTTGGCAGGAATTCCCTGGGGCCGCAGCTGGCTGCTGCCTTCTGGGCCACGGCCACCACCGAGTGAGGATCCCACGTTCTGGGTTCTAGTTTTTACTTTGAAGTGTCCAGCTGTCCATGGTGCAGAGCCCAAGGAAGGGCCAGAACGCTCGAGGTCCAACCACCCTGGCTTTAGTTTTCTGTAAAAGTTGCCAAATGAGGAAACCTGAAATAGATGGTTTAATGATTTAAAATTCTTGCCTGTCCCAAATCCTGTGAGTTAAATCTTTTGTAAAGCCAATGGATTTTTTATTTTTTTAGTAATGTCAGCTATGCCTCTCTTCATCAAAGATCCTAAACAAGGGACTTGTCACAACTCTGTTATTTTACAGTGGTGGTTCACACATGGGGGCCTGTCGTAGTTATCAAGTGTTGCTTGAACAGCACCACCACAAGGGAGTGGCTTTAACAGAATTTTATTCTGTTTTTGAGGATTTTCATATATTTATTTGAAAAGCCAGAATTTTATTCTTTGATGGTTAGGAGGAAGGTCCACATCTACTTTCAGCGTCTGTGGGCCTGGTGTCCCTTGGAGATCTGTCTCTATGTGTCTTGGTATCATTCTTCCCCGGGGTCTGGGAGATCCCAGGGCAGGGACACTGGGCACCAGAGGATGCTGTTCTCAGTCCTGGTTTTTCTTTTTTGGTGGTTCTGAGATCTCCTCTGCTCCCTCCTCTCCTTTGATCTCTGCGAGAGAAAGGGTGATGCATCTCATATCCCAGGGAAGCCCCCTTACAGCCAGCAGGGATGTGACCTGAGTTAGTGTAGCTTCTCACTGCCACTCGAATCCCCTTGCATTAGGTCAGGACACACCACATCACATCATGGTTGGGTGGTGATGGCATTACGTAACTGCCACATCACATCGCACTGAAAATCATGGCCCTTCCAAATTGACACATCTTTTTGGAGGCAGTTCAACTCACGACAGTGGCCAAGTCTTGATTAATCATCAATGAAAGAACAGTGCCCACAAAGGAAAACCGCTGGGTAAGGGCAGACAAGTTGACAACTAGATCACACAGCAGAAAGAGTGGAAGACGGGGGACACATGGCTCTGAAATCGCCTACTTTTGAAAAATAAAGAAACTTTGGAACTTTACCTTTGTTACTAAGCAAAAACAGCCTGGAAGCAGTGGAAGCCCTTTGGAACCTTCCCTGCTTTGAACTTAACAATGCCGGTCAGTGATATGCGACAGCCTTTCGCGTTTGCTAACAGCCCTTGATAAAAAGATGTTCCCTTTGAGAAATGTCAGAGTAGGTTATTTGGTCAGCTGGAATGAGAACACCCAATCACTGCTCATAAAAATGGCATTTAAATGATTTCTTCTACCAGCTTATCCATTTCTTCTACCAGCTTATCGAGGCCAAAGATGTAGTTCTGTTGAATTTGGTTTCCAGCATGTAGCCAAGAATGTGCACTTGGCAGTCACTTAGATGACCCTTGCTGGACTATTTTGACTTTACCTGCTTCCTTTATTTCTGCCTTTTATGCACTGTTTTGTGCCTCTAACTGCGGAGCCATGAAGCCACCCTTCACCCAGAGGAAGTGAATGCTGCTTCTCCCAGGCCCCCTCAACCTCACCGCCAGTCGGACGCACAGGACAGGGCCGAGTTGGGTGCTCCCCGACAGGAGTAGAAAACCTCCTTTTCTCCAGGGGCAGTGGTTCAGTGTTTGCTAAGTTCAGTGGTGACTCAATGAAGCATAACACTGCTACTAACGAGATGTGGTCGTACATTCTTCAGGTGTTTGGTGTTGGCGCAGTGAAAACAACAACAGCAACAAAACACCTCTGCTACAGCTTTCACCGTTGTAGCCGCTTTGTTAGATGATATTGTTATTTCCAAAAATAGTAAAATAGCATTTCGATAGATTTCTTTCAAGTTTTCTAAGTCATGTGAGTTTCTTTTTTCTTTCTTCCGACCCATAGGCCACAAATAAGAGCCCCAATGGCAGAGTGGATTACTCTTTGAGCTACTAACTGAAAGGCCATCAGTTCAAAACTACCAGTGTCCTTGTAAAGATGTACATCCTCAGAAACCCCGCAGTTCTATCCAGTCCTGTAGGTAGCTGGGAGTCCAAACCGACTCGTTGGCACTGAGTTTTAGGCCTCAGATTGCTTTGCTTCGCTACATAGATATTATTCTTTTGTACCTGATTTTAAAGGGAGTATTTATGATATTCTCACATTTATGCTGATATTTGGTCTACGGTTTGATATTGGACATTCTTTATCAGGTTAAAGAGCTGTTCCCTTTTATTTCTAATTTATTTAGATTTTAAAATCATGAATGGATAGGTGTTGAATCTTATCAAACATCAGTTGAAGCAGTCCTTTGCTGTTTCTCATTTCATGTGCTTACGGGATGAATTATGTTTATGGGCTTTCTAATGTCACACTTCCCTTGCACACCTGAGAAAAACTCAGCTTTCGGTGTGGTATATTTTTACATACAGTACACTGTGGAAAGACGAGGCTCACTACTCCCATAAAAAGAGTTGGCATCCACCCGACAGCAGTGAGTTTGGATTTTGGTTTGGTGGCATCCAGTTTGCTATTATCTTACTTATCATTCATTCCACTTGTTTTACTTACCATTTACATATTCATTCTACATTAGTCAATTCCTTTGTTTGTTCAGGAGGAACAGCACTTAGTTCAAGACTTTGCTGGCACCAAACTTACCTATCGGCACTTTCCCCCACATAGACCTTGGAACCCAGGTTATCTGCAGGCGCCATTCTACTTGGCTTCCTGATTTCAGGACTGCTTGAGAGTGACTTCCTTTTTTGTTGTTGTTCTTCCATTTTCTTTTCAGTGACTTCCTTTTTATGTATCATTTGCTTCTGTTTCCTAGCGTGAAAAGGGGAGGATTTGGGGCAGGGTTTCCATGAATGTGGGTGACTGACTTCTAGTGGTTTATTTTGCAGGCTGCTCCCGGAGAAGTGACGGAGGCGGTGAAGGTGGCAATAGATGTGGGGTACCGGCACTTTGACTGTGCGTACTTCTACCACAATGAGAGCGAGGTGGGAGCAGGGATCCAACATAAGATCAAGGAGGGCGTGGTGAAGCGGGAAGACCTGTTTATCGTCAGCAAGGTAGGCCTTCTCATGGAGGAAGAACCGAGGCTGCTCAGATAACCAGGGAGCAGGAGGAGGTGAAGGACTTTCTTTTTTTTCAATCATTTTATTAGGGGCTCATACAACTCATATCACAATTCATACATGCATCAATTGTGTAAAGCACATTCGTACATTCATTGCCCTCATCATTCTCAAAACATTTGCTCTCCACCTAAGCCCCAGACATTAGCTTCTCATTTTTTCCCTCCCTCCCTCCCCACTCCCCTTTCCCTCATGAACCCTTGATAATTTACAAATTAATATTTTGTCATATTTTGCCCTGTCTGACATGTCCCTTCACCCACTTTTCTGTTGTCCGTCCCCAGGGAGAAGGTTATATGTAGATCCTTGTAATCGGTTCCCCCTTTCCAACCCACCCTCCCTCCACCCTCCCAGTATCGCCACTCACACCACTGGTCCTGAATGGATCATCCGCCCTGGATTCCCTGTGTTTCCAGTTCCTATCTGTACCAGTGTACATTCTCTGGTCTAGCCAGATTTGTAAGGTAGAATTGGGATCATGGTAATGGGGGGGGTGGGGGGAGGAGGAAGCATTTAGGAACTAGAGGAAAGTTGTATGTTTCATCATTGCTACGTTGCACCGTGACTGGCTCGTCTCCTCCCCAGACCCTTCTGTAAGGGATGTCCAGTGGCCTATAAATGGGCTTTGGGTCTCCACTCTGCTCTCCTTCCCTCATTCACTATGGTATGATTTTTTGTTCTTTGATGCCTGATAACTGATCCCTTCGCCACCTCGTGATTGCACAGACTGGTGTGCTTCTTTCATGTGGGCTTTATTGCTTCTGAGCTAGATGGCCGCTTGTTTACCTTCAAGCCTTTACGATCCCAGACACTATATCTTTTGATAGCCGGGCACCATCAGATTTCTTCACTGTGCTTCCATCCTTGGAAACATTTTTCAAACTCATCTGTTTGGATGGCTGACAACACCTCCCTCGATTTTTTTCTTCACCTCTTGTATGTCATCAAATCACTGCCCCTTCATGTCCCTCTTCATTTGCAGAAACAAAAAGAAGTCACACAGTGTGAGGTCAGGTGAGTCAGGTGTGGGGGGCAAGAGAGGCATGCTGTTTTTTTGCCAAAAACTAGCACACTGAGATGGCTGCATGAGCGTGTGCATTGTAGTGGTGGCAAAACCAGTCCTGTCTGCCACAAATCAGGCCTTAAAAGAGATCATTTTATTGGGGCTCTTACAGCTCTTATAACATGCTATACATCAGCGGTTTTCAACCTGTGGGTCGCGACCCCTATGGAGGATTGAATGACCCTTTCGCAGGCGTCACCCAATTCATAGCAGTAACAAAATTATAGTTATGAAGTAGCAACGAAAATACTTTTATGGTTGGGGGGGTCACCACAACACGAGGAACTGTATTAAAGGGTTGCAGCATCAGGAAGGTTGAGACCCACTGCTATACATCAGTTATATCCAGGATATTTATATATATGTTGCCATCATCATTTTCTAAACATTTACTTTCTATCTCAGCACTTGGTGTCAGTTCCTATTTTTTCCCTCCCTCCCTCTACTCCCACTCTCATGACCCCTGATAAATTATTATTGTTTTCATATCTTATACCGACCACTGTCTCCCTTCACCCATGTTTCTGTTGTTTATCCCC